GCATCCTTAAGCATAATGACGTCACTGCTGCAGTTATCCTGCCCAAAAGTCTTCCACCGTCTTCTCTTCATTGTGATCTTCTTCCAGGAGTGTTTCCTGCAAACCGTGGAGTCAGAGCTCATCGGACTCGTCTGCTCAGTGCCGTTAGCAGAGCATCCATCCTGTTCTCCATTCAGCAGCAGTTTCTGAGTGTGGACTGTTTTATGGCTTTAACTCTATGAAATGAATTCTTATATCCAGGAGGAATGCAGTAGAGGCCTCCCTTTGTCTTCTGATTATGAGTGCCTCCTCAGTCTCCAGCTTTCGTTTTCTTTACTGTCCACCATCTGTCTTTATTGTCTGTCTTTTACTGTCCTGTAACTAAACCTGTGAAGCGAACCCACCCCTACTTTTTGTGTTGCTACCTACTGAATAGAGCAGAAATACACGTAGTGAGTTATTTTCCCCTTTTATCCTCTTTTCATTTCCCGCAGCACCTGAAGACACTGAGGCATCCATGTCTGCTGCGCTTCCTGTCCTGCTCGGTGCAGGATGGCGGCATCCACCTGGTAACTGAGCATGTGCAGCCCCTGGAGCTGTTGCTGGACAGCCTCTCCCCAGAGGAAATCTGTGCAGGCATCTACGACTTGCTGCAGGCGCTGGTCTTTCTGCACGAGAGGGTGAGCAGAAAGAAGAGGAGTTTGCTACTGCTGCTCTGAAGCAGCCCCTGCCTGATTTTCTTCATGCATGCGATTGAAACAACAGCTCCAGACCATCGTAGAGAGAAAACTGCTGAGATGCTGCTTCATGTTCTGCATTAGCAGGGCTCCAGGCTAACGTTTAGCTGGTAGCACTGGTGGGACCAACTTTCTCATTTGACAACATCTGACTTGCTGAACATTTTCGTATCAATCGACTCTACGATTTACCGATGTTCCCTAAACGCCCCACGTAGCAGGCTGCGGTAGCTGCTGGTATCTCTAGCTGTCTATATATCTGTCTGTTGGCTGTTCGCTGTGGTGCTCTGACAGGTGTGCGACCAAAAATGACTTTAAAAATATTAAACCAGGGCGTTCTAATGTCACATGTGTCCTAAATGAAACCGTGTGACTTTTTTTTTTTTTTACACCTGTTCCTGTGAGTGGAAAAAACAGTGAATGCAGCTGCGCTCCGTTTTTCACCAGAAGACCTCATTTTTTAGTGTAAATCGCGCAGCAGGCTGAAGTTATTGAAGTCCTACCTTCCAGCCCTGTGGTGAACACAGCAGCAATCTGTTTGTCTGTGCACGACTTCATAACTTGTCCTCTTCTCCCATCAGGGTAAATCGAGCCACAACAACGTCTGTATTTCATCTGTGTTCGTCAGTGAAGACGGCCATTGGAAGCTGGGAGGGATGGAGACTGTCTGCAAGTTCTCTGAAGCAACTCCTGAGGTAAGAGGTAGAACGCATTCACCTGTTTTCATGAGGAAATCAAACATATATGAAAAGTTAAGTACGTCACATTGAAGTTGTTGGCTCTCTGACATATTTAGCAGACATTTGTTTAGACAGTGCGTCAGGATGACGGTGATATACTTGAACAAGCCCACACGGAAATCGAGCTCCCTGTCACTCATGGACAGCAGTGTGTAATCGAGTAGTGTTGTGGAAGAATCGGCCTCAGAAGCTCGGAGTGCTCCCTTTGGCAGGATGAGCTTCTTGAAGCCAGTGTGAATAATTTTCCCGCCACTCTTTGACATCAGATTATGAAATATTTTTGAGCACTCATCCATAGTTTTCTTGCATCTGGCCACAGACTGTTGAGCTGCAGATCCTTTGGTCCCTGCTTTAGGACTTCTGTTGGTTTTTGCATCAGTCTGCGGTTGAGTTGCTCGGCCAGCCACCTCCGTACCGACCGCCACTGAGTGGACATCTGTAGCACTTCTTAATCCTCACAGTGGAGTAATTAGTTACAATTTAAATTGGAGATTGTTTTGAAATTCTTTTCCAAGTCCAGATGTTTTACTTTCCTTAACCCTTTTTCTGAGGGCCTTACGGAGCTCTTCAGATCGTAGCACGATGGCCCCACACACTTCAGTCAGAAGGGACAAACCAGACGCTGGATGCCGGAGGTTTATCCACCAGGTTTAAACCACTGCCGCTGAATCTGGAGTCTGTGATTGTAACTTGATGCTCACTTGCTGTTCCTTGTGCTCCGTCTGTTTTTCTTATATATTTAAAACGTACATTTTATTTGCCGTTTGTTTCAGCACAAGACTCTGATAAAGAGACCGTTTCAAAGAGGACGAGGTGTTTGCTTGTTGAAATATGCTGTCTAGTCTGCCGGGTCCGTGAGATGTACGGGCTTCTTCATGCGGCTGTATTGTTTTATGGTTTCATATTTGTTTTTCTTCATCGCTTCAGTTTCTCACGAGCATTCAGAATGCGAGGGAAGCCAGCTGTGTTCCTCCTGAAGAGCAGGTAAGCAGATTGAAGATCGAGACACACAGATAAGAAAAACGTTCTGCTTTGTTCACAAGTGTTTTAAAGAAGCATGTCGTCGACAGGCTGAGGGCTTTAAAATGCTTCCGGATAAACACGCCCACTCTCGGGACTGTTACTCCTTTGGAATGACGGTGGAGGCCCTGGTTCCTCTCCTGAATGGCTATGGTGAGTAGAGCAGGCCTCAGCCACCATGTTGGTCCACTTTAGCCTGTACATGTGCTCCTGTACGGTGAGCCACACACTGATCCGACCACCTGTCACAGAAACCAGGAGACAAACACATTTTAGAAATCTTTCAAAAACTGGTTTAAAACTAAAAATGTTATTTAGATGGCGAGTAACAAACTGAAACAACTAAACAGTCCTTTGTTCCCACATACAGCCCAAAAGCTGGATGCTGTGTGTGGCCTCCTGTGGCCTCGGAACCAGCTGCTGCTTGCTGCCTTCATGTTGCTGTGGAGGGCCACGTAGCTTCTCACTGTCCCACAGACTTGCTTTAGATTAAACTTTCAGTCAGTCTTTGAATGTACTGCATCCCACATTTGTTCAACAGGATTCAAATCGGGACTCTGACTGGGCCGGTCCATCGGTTCCAGCACCCCGGGTTCCTTTTTCTGGGTCAGATGGTCTCTGCACAGCCTTGCAGTCTGCTGGGCTCATGGTCCGGTTGCTATGTGAACCCATGACCAGTCAGGTTCAGTCCAGAAGGGATCCATGATGCACTAAGGTGTTGCGGTAGACGTTCTGGTCCATGATACCGTTGGTTCTCACTAATTTGTCCACGCCGTTTCCACTAATGGAGCCCATGATGGAACCTCCAGCGTGTTCCACTGTGGCTGCAGCTGGCATCAAAACGTTCTCCAGATGTTCTGTGGGCAGAAACGCGACGATGCTGACCCAAGAGTTCAAACCTGGACTCAGCCATGCAGAGGACCTTCTTCCAGTCACCAACAGTCCAGTGTTTGTGCTCCCTGGCAAACCTGAGGCTCTGCTCGATGTTTGCAGGCCTCAGTGAAGGCTTCTCAGCAGCTCTCCTTCCCTCTAAGCCTTGTTCCATCAGCCGTCTGCTTATCTGGAGACTTTCTCAGACTCTGGTCTAGAAGCATTCATCTCTGCCTGAACATCAGCAGTGGTCCTCCTTCTGTCTCTAGTCCTTCAGATCTTGAGCTGTCTGACGTCTGCTTCACTTAACTTTCATTTGCTGCCTCTTCCTTGGTGCATTTGGTCAGAACCAGCCTCAGCCATTGACTCCAGATGGTACCTGAGCCCACTGTGAGAACACGTTCTGTCCGTCCCTGTTAGTGTCCGACACCATCCAGCATCGTGGAGCGCTTCAGTGCACACTCAGCTCTCCACGTGTTACCATTTGGAGCAGGAATGAGGAGTTTCAAACTGAATTCACCTTTTTATACCCAAATTTGAGCCGGCTTCTCTGAGAACTCAGAAATTAATCAAACATCCATCCATCATCTACACCTTAATCCTCACTAGGGCCGTGGGGGGTGGAGTCTATCCCAGCCGACTCAGGGTGAAGGCAGGTTCACCTGGACAGGTAACCAGTCTATCACAGGCCTTAATCAAACATTCAACTACTAAAGCTGATTTTTCTGTTCAGGAATGCAAGTAAATAACTATAATCTGACATCTTAATGAAGAAATAATAACGTGCTTTACTGTTTTCTTCTGTGTTTTTTGTAAAACAAGAAATTTGAACATTATATTTCAGCGTTAGAACATCACTTTGGTTAAAGAGCTGCTACGTACAGGTGTATTACCTGCTACAGAAACAGAAGAACTGATGATGACCAGTGCTGCTGTGGCATAAAGCTCACACTGGGTGGCGCTCCAGTACATGTGTTAAGCGCTGTGCACTGAGCCCGCTCCTTCTTCTGTGGTTTCAGTGTCACAGGAGCTGTCTGACAGCCTGACCAAGACCCTGCAGGCCGGCCCGCTCAACTCGGACCCGTTGTCTCGACCTCCGCTCAGCTCCTTGCTGACTCACGACTTCTTCAGGTTAGCGTGTTTGTTACCGCCGTGATCAGGACATACTGGGAACTGATTTGCTTTTAAACACGCTTGTTTTTCTGCGAATAGGAACGACTTCCTGGAAGTGATGAATTTTCTGAAAAGCCTGACCCTGAAGACGGAGGAAGAAAAGAATGAGTTCTTTAAGTAAGAAGCAGCACGGCCTCTGTTCGGTTCGGCTTCATGCAGTCGTGTACAACACGCTTTGTTATTCAGGAATGATCTCGTACATTCTTGTCGTTGCGTCATAAGACATCGGGGCTACACCTTATGCTTCCCTCATGTGCTGCGTCTGTATTTTCAGGTTTCTTTTAGACCGGGTCCAGAGCCTTCCTGAAGAGCTCATGGCAGCGCGCCTCGTTCCCAAACTCCTCAACTCTCTCGTTTTTGCAGAACCCATGGCTGTCAAAAGCTTCCTGCCTCATCTTCTAAGGCCAAAGAAGGGTAAGGTGGCATTTTCTCACACTCTTCCTCCTGCTGCCAATAATAGTAACTCAGATCCTTATCTTAAAGAAGGAAGGAAAACGCAGCTGCCAAGCACAGATGTAGCATAAAAGTCCCGTATCTTCTGTATCTCGTCTGTGTGGACAGATCCCAGTGGGGGTGGTAGCAGCGAGGACTGCCTGCTGTCTGTGTCCCTGTACCGTAAACATGTGATTCCCCAGCTTCTGAAGCTCTACAAGGTCAATGAAGAACACGTCCGGATCGTGCTGCTGGCTCACATCCACATCTACGCCGAGTTCTTCTCCCACGATGAACTCAAAAACCAGATCCTACCTCAGGTGGAGTCTCCACACGCCAGCAGTTTGTTGTCAGTCATGGACACTGAGAGAGTGGAAGTCAAGGAACTCTTTAACATTTTGGGAAAATGCTTCTGTCCACTTTTTGTTGAGATGTAGAGGAGAGCACTGATGGTCCTGACAGATTTAGAAACATGCACATGAAGAGAAACTTTACAGATGTTCTCCTCTCCAATCTGAGTTGCCCACAACAAATAATCAGACAATAATGGCACATGACACACCACAGGGTATTATTACTATTGTTGAGATGATGGTTTCAG